TTCCCTTAGGAAATGTAAAGGAAACCCACTTGTCTCCAGTTAGGGATTCTGGGTACAAACAGAGCCTTTGTCACACAAAATGAAATGAAATAGAGAATGAGACCACTTAGAAACACATGAGGCTCTTCATGTTTCTTGTTTCTGTTTGTCCAGCCATTTGGTTTAATAGCTACTGATATTATCATCCTTCATTTTCAGCGAAAAGAGTTTTCTGTTGTGAGCAAATTACTTGGGTTCAAAGGACAACACGAGTCTCTTCATAGATGTAGGAAACAACTGAAAATAACTAGTGAAGAGAGTGGTTTTCGAACCCTCCCTCAACATCTATTGCTGAAAGCTGTGGTGCAGAATCATTTTGTTTCAACTTTAGGAGAGATCCTTGGAAATGTTTAGAAATGGGTATTAATAGCTATCCTTCCAGTCTCATGTGCTTATCACACAGTAGGTGTGCTTCGAGCAGAATTGTAGGCTTCTATAATAGCTTTCTAATGAGACTACCCCATTTCAAACATTCTTTTCTCCCATAATAAGTAATTACTAGTGTGAAATGTGATTTATAGCAATAGGCTTGACATTTAGCCTTCGCTTTTTGTATACCTTCAGGATAAACTACACTTAAGCTCAGGAGGTTAGACTAGGCACATATCAAACCGACTAGGTCTTGCAAAAGCACAGATAGGGTAGAGAGTTCTGAAACTTTAAGTCTCAAAGACCATACATTATATGACTGTTTAAGCTCCCAATTCATGCTACCAGATCTAAAGTAATCCAAAGAATTCAGCAGCCTCCTAGCAACCGGTAAGTTCACAGGCCACAAGATGAGTTCATTGTTCATCTTGAATATTAATTTCCCAATGGTAGTTTCTGGGCAGAAGGGGGGGATCTTACCTTTTGTTCAAATCAAGATGAATAATAAAATGTGTGTGGCATTATGTAAAGAAGAAAAGGGATTGGGCCAAATGGATGGGGGATCATTCTTCCACCTTTTCTGAAACTAGAAATTATGATACTAATTAAGTAGCGATAAAAGTCAAACTCCACTGGCAGGAAGTGTGTATAATGTATAGCAGTTTATATGTGAAAACATGTTCACATACTTCTGTGAAGTGATTTTCAAGGCCTCGTGCCTTTTCTTGATGAAGCTGCTAGAGGCTTTCTCTGCTAGAGCTTGAATCTCTTCATGCACATGGTGCTACTAATGTTTAATTTTCTTTGCTACCCCCCTCCCCAGCCCTGAGGATGGGTGTTTCTGTATATTCCATGTTTATAGTGCTACCAACGTTTCGTGGTTTATGGGCTCCCTCCTGCACCCCCCAATAGGTACCAACGTTTCGTGGTTTATGGGCTCCCTCCACCACCCCCCAAGAGTGTGTGTGTTCTTGCTGAGAGAAACAGACAGACAAAGTGAGGAATCACCCCCAGGGATTGGCCATGCCATAATCCCTGTTCCTCCATTCTCCTCTCAGGATTTTGGGTACCCATGCACACTCACCCGGTATGTTTTTCAAGCCACCAGGTCTGGGATTTAATGGTGTAGTTGGCCATGTGGGATCCAGTACCTTAATTACCATACCACCTGCTGGCCCATGGACATTCTTATTGATCAAGATTGGAAAGTAATTTTGCCACTGTACAGGTTCTACAGAGCATATTCATAAAAGTCTTTGCTTATGAGCAAGAAAGCCAAGTCCTGGCACATTTTAGTTTAACGTTGTCTTTTTAAATAATGTCTTTAAGGAATAAAGCAGACATTTTTTAATGCTATGGCTTTAAAAGATTTGAAAAGAAAGAGAAAACAAAAGCCCTCAACCAGCATCTTAAGAAAATTGAAGTCAGTTTTACCTGCTGATTTAATGAGTTCGTGGGGAGGAACGGCCAGCGCACCACCACCTCGATTCACGGATTAGTTTTCATTTTATAGAACCTAATTCTAGGACACATTTGACTGTGTGTTCCAGTTCCTTCTGTTCTGTTATTTTAAGAGACGTGAGAGTTTTCTGGGAGGGAAGGATGGACACTGGAGGTTCTAATCTGGGCCTGTCACGAGCCAGCTGTGTCCCTGGCGAGTAACACAACCTCCCTCCATCTGTAATGAGTTCCCTGGTTCCAGGTTTCCAGTACCAAATTGGGCTGTGCAGAGGCTCTGTAATGAGTGAGTGCAGGGCTTCTGAACACTTAAAACATAAATCGTTAGAAAAAAAAAAAAAAAAGACCTTTGCCCTTTTGTACTTATTAAAGTCACATGCTTCTCTATGTGGGCTAGTGCTCCTTTTGCAACGGAATGTTTCCTGTCATCCTCAAACGTTGCATTACGTGTATGCATCTCAGGGCTTGGCCTGGTGACCAGAGCTACGGGGGAGGGGATCATAAATGAAGACGCCGCAGGTTACAATCTTATGCACGTTTTAATAAACAGCATCTCGTTGCCTCCTTTTCCCTCTTTGCAGAGATCCATT